TCATTTACCGTGGGATAAGAAAGGTTCCTGGAAGTCACTGGCTGTGCACACTCTGGAGCAGATGCTTGGATGCTGGCCCTGGACCACCCCAGCTCCTGGAAAACCATCTCCTGATGGCATTGTGGAAGACCACACACTAAGGTAACAGACCTTTGAGTGATCAGGCTGCTACATTTATCAACATGAAGTTCACTTCCCTACTGTGTCTCTAAAAAACTATCAAGGTATTGTTACTTTGTCTATTAACACCCTTTTGTAAACACAGATGACTGGTTTGTCCCTAGTTATGTGACTGGATAGCAGCGCTTTATTCACATCTGAGGGTCTCCACCTCCAGCATCTCTCCTAAGCAGGGCAGTCCCAGCTCCTTCACTGACACAATACACATCACTGTATTGGTACAGTACAAAAAATCAGGCTTTGAGGCAAATCGTTACATGGATATATTTATTGCATTGCAGTCTTAGCAATTTTAAATATAAACATTTATATCTGGAAAGCAGAATATTGCAAATTTAGTATTATCCAATATGTTCATAGCAGCATCAGCTTCCTAAGAAATAAAATGTTTAGGAAGACAGAGAAGGAATTACAAACAAGTTACACTCTCATTTATCACCATCTGACCCAAACATAGAACTGCAGCTGTGAAAGAGATATTGAAGTCACCAAATGTGACCTTGAAGACGTCTGTGATTTCAAGACTGAAGAGTGTTTTTGTACCTGATTCCCCACATGGTTTTCATGTGCCAAGGTGAGGTTAACTAACAGTCACGAGCCTGGAGAGGGCAGAGGGTTGATGTATCTGCATTACCTGACAGAGAGAGTTTTGATAACAACACTTGGCACTTGCACAGCATTTACCACTTCCCCAGCTCCTGCAAGACAGGCAAGGAGTGCTCTTGGATGTGCTACAGCTGTGGAGCGTCAGGGAGAGGGATGGAAGCGACTTGCCAAGGCCATTCAGTGAGCAAGAGGCAGTGAAGAGAGTGGAATTTGTCAGCCCCTGACTTCCAGTTCCCTGTCAGTCTGGTGGCTGGCTCATGCTGCTCCTCTGTGGCTCCCTAAGGAAGTTTTACAGGTGACTGACTGGTTAACAAGCCCCAGCCTGTGCACCTACAGTGGGTGTGTGCACCATTGAAAAGAGGTCAGCCCATCTGCTTCCCTTGTAATGACCATTTTAGTTTTAGAGAAACCAAATATTTCTCTCATCTCATCCTCTCAGAATAATGTGCCAGCTGAAGACACCTTGGCACAGCTGCACTTTGCTCTGAAGCAGTGGAAATCAGAAGCAATCACTAAAGGAGCAGCTTTCACATCTTTCCTGAGGGAGAGCACTGATCTTTTGAGAGGAAAAGAGGATGGATATGTTTTCACACAAACTGATCAAACTACTTTTCATTCTAAACGAATACAAGACTGACTGAAAGTCTCAGGTGTACTAATTTTTTTCAACAAAGTCATCCAGGTGTGCACCAGAAAGCTAGAAGCTAGTAAGATAGTTATCCAGGAACATCAGGAGGCATTTTCCTCCCCTGGCAGGCCTTCACTTCCACCAGCTAAGAGAAAGAGCACTTACAGTGACATCTGAAAGGGCTTGTAAACATCATGAGACAAGCATCTCTTCTATTTTCCCATTAAAATAGTCATTTCTCCTGCACCCCAGGAAGCCAAGGAAAACCAAGCCTTCTCCACCCCCACCTCAAAATAGCAAATTTTCTTCCTTTTTCTCCCACTGGGTTTCCTCTGCAAAATATTGAGGCAGGATCAAACATGTCAGTCATTAGGGCTGGATCCTGGCAGAGATTCCAGGGGCAGTTCAGGTGCTGTGAAAGGCTCACAGCATAAGGGAGGCTGCACTCAAGAGCATCCTCCCCTTCACCTACAGAGCTCAGCTGCCCAGCGTGGCAGGATTGTGGCCAAGGCTAGAAAGCCCCTTCCCATGTCCAGGAGTTAGCACCACCTGAGTAATTCCTGTCCCCTCCTTTGTCTTGGCCTAATCTGATGCTACTCTTGCCACCTAACACTCCTCTCTGTCAGTGTGAAGCCATTCCCCCTCGTCCTGGCACTCCAGGCCCTTGTCAATAGTCTCTCTCCATCTTTCTTGTAAGCTCCCTTCAGCTACTTGAAGGCTGCAATTAGGTCATCCCAAAGCTTCTCTTCTCCAGGCTGAACAACTCCAACTCTCTCAGCCTTTCCTGGTTTGCAATACTTGAATTGCAATCAGAATTTCACAAATTCTGTAAAAACTTTCTTTTCCAATACTATTTCTAGTCAGCAGCAGCCTTTCCTAATGTTCTAACAGACTTAGGATTGCTATTAGTTCAAACTTGAATTTTTAAAGCCAATATCATGAATCAAAAGCATGAACTGAAGTAGTTCTGGGCTGCAGATGCTGCAGACCTCAGCATTCATATTTTACACTTGGCAGTGCAGGCAGGAGAGAAAACATCCTCATATTAATTGGCAGTATTTGCAGTTATGCTCCGAGGCAGACACTGGCATATACCTGAGCAGCTTCTCAGGCAAGAGCTGAGGGAATCACTGCATCACCTCTGAAAAGGTGCAGGACTTTGCCTTCCAGTTTTATCCAGTGGCAGAGCTTGCAGTGTAAATTGGTGCTTATAACTCTGATCTGTTTAATCAAAGACAGGAAGTTTACCTTGAGATAAACATCTTCATAAACTCAGTGTTTTCAGTCTGCTGTCCCTGCTCCACTTTCCTTCAAGATTCTGGATCAAATAATTTACACCTGTCTCACTTAGGTCAGTGCCAGTAAGAAATAGGCTGAGTGTGGGCAGAATGTTAGACAGAATGTCAAATTCAATAAAAATTATACATCTTTTTTCTCTGCCTCTTTTTATCCTGCACACCTATTCACCCAGTGATTTACAAGTGCAAGTGGGTGACTGCACCAACAAACTAGGAAAACCTAGCACTTTGTGAAGGAAAATAAATAACAAAATTATTTTTTCAAAAGTTAAAAAAAAAATCACTTTACTCCAAAAAGTAATATTATCCAAGATAAATAATTCTTCTGACCAAATAATTCTGAAACTCTAAAGAGAACAGTATGAAAATCAAGAATAGCCAAAGGCTCTCTGGATTCAAAACTGGATGGGGTAACATTCCTTAGGGAAGGGTAAAAACCAGTGGGCACTCAGGCCTGTTCCTGCTGAGACATTGCCCTGCAGAAGGAATGCTGCACAAGAAACAATGAATCCAAACACTGAAGGAGAAGAAGCAGATGGAAAACAGCACTCACTGATTAATTCAGAAATCACCTGCAAAGGACATGCTAAGAACTTCACTCTAGGTCTGAAAAACCCTTCCAGGCAATTAACAAGCTGGACAAGTAAGTTGAGAGAAGGAACCAAACCCACACTTTTTTATAAGCTTTTTTCCCTTTGCCTTTACCTTTTCTAAAACTACAACCCAAGGAGTGTTTGATAAAAATGAAGCACCTGTGCAAAAACATTTCCTAAGAAATAATCCCAGAAATGAGAAATTATTTTAAAACTTCCACAGATTATCCCAATGCTTCTTTGAAGTTTTTGCAGAAAACTGCTCCATGCAGTACCTCACCCCAAAAACACTTTAAGAACCACTGCTGAGCACCAGGCTGAGCAAAGTCCTAGAAACACAGGATAGGTGGCAACCAGTGGATCCTTTCTAGGGAGGCTTTCATATCTACCCAGTTTTTTCACTCTCACGTGGCTCTCTGTTTCTTACTCTTCATTCCTTAGCACAAAGACTTTGGTGTGTTCGTGCTCACAGCATCACTGCAGCAAGAGAGGAAAGGCTGGGAACAAAACACTTCTTTAACAAAAAATTTTATGTTGAGTTTGGAAAAGAAAAATCATAGAAAGAAACAACAAGAACAATGAAAAAAAAACCAAAACACTGACAACTACAGCCCATTTGGTTCCAAAGGTTGTTTTCTTTTTCTTTTTAAAACAAATTTAGGAGAATATTTCAGTGAGGTAGAAGAACCCATTTCAGAACATGACATTCAGTTTTATTTAAAGAGCAATGTTATCTGAAGTATTGAACAAGCAAGTGACAGCACACCTATAGGATCACTTGCTTCATCACACTCATGATGCTTGAAAGATACAAAATCTGTAAAACAGGGTTTTAATAATGCATTTTAAAAATACACAATGCCAGAAAAAGTGGGAAAAGGAAGACATTTTGGAAGATCTGAAGTTGTAGAAGAGGAAGCAGCAGTATTTAGGAAGCAGCTTGGAAATAATGAGAAAAATGGACAATGAGAAAAGTAGGATACAAATGAAGAACCAACAAATAATTCATTAAATCTAAACTGGAAGACAGCAGTTTAACCAACTTCACAGATGAGAGGAGGAACATTCTAACAATGAGGTAGTGCAAAAAAAAGTAGATAAACTATAATCCTTAACTAGGTTTGCTCACCAAAGTGATGATTCTGGAAGAACAGGTCAGGGATGATATAAAAATCAAGGCACAAACTTAAGTCTAAGCACCAGCATTTTTCATAAAATGTAAACAAAGAAACTCATAGATGTGAAGCAACAAACTTCTGTATGGTTTCACAGAAAAACCCATTATGAAAGGAAACATTGAGACTTCCAGAAGCAACTGAGAACTTGGGGAAGTGTCAATTGATAGGAAGGGCAGCACAGCCACAAAAACATTCATAGTAGTTGTATCTTAGTTAATGCACAAGGCATAAACTAGGCAGACAAACAGAATTAAGAATATCAGGTGAAGAAAAGCAGGAATTCAATGAAATGTCACTGTATATCAGCCTGAGGGTGATCTGACACCCTTTGGTCAAATATGAAAGAAAGAGGAGAGGTCAGAACCAGTGGCCTTTGGTACTAATAGAAAAGGCAGAGAGGAATTATCCCAAGCAGCTGAAATAAGAACAAAGCTGTCAGAAAACAGAGAGGAAAATCCCCACAAACATAAGGAAGAAAATATTCACTTGCAATAAAAGCTGCTGGGAAGTCAGAAGCAGAGATAAGCACCTTGTTTCTAGCTTCACATGTTTCTAGTAATTTGTGAGGGTTCTGGTCAGTACATAGAAAGCCAACCAGGAAAGGGTGCAGAAAGCCAGGACAACAAGAGCAGTCTTTGTAAACCGGAGTTTAGAATGTCCTGAGGAGACAAAGTACTGACAGGAGAAAGGAAAAAAAAAACAGGGAAAAAAAAAGGAAAAACTGCAGAGCACACGAGTACAGAAGGAAGGAGGGGAAACAAGAACCTCCATGAGAAGAATCTTTTCAGTGCCTAGTCTCAGTTCACAGACGGGTGGGACTTACAGCAGTAAAGCAACATTTCAGAAGAATCTGTAAAGAGTATTTAATTTTTTCTTTTCTTTTTTTTTTTCCCTTGATGAAACTATTTTGCCTCAACAGTACTTTTTATTCTGTCCCAGGCTGAACTTGGCTTTGAGCTCAGTGGCTGAGCTCATCAAGCCCCATCTCATATGAATTGTTGACATAAGTTTCAAGCTCCCCCAGAGGCAAACAGCTGCTTTGTGTGTCCAGAATGCCTGCTAAATTATTTCTGTGATTCACCCAAACACCAGACATATTCCTAACAACAAAGCAAGCAGAATGCTGCATCTGCAGCAACAGAAATCCATATTACCCACAGTACAGCCACTCAATTTGAGAACTCAGGGCATCTATATGCAATGTAAGTCCTGCTACAAAGCAATATCCCAACTTCAGCTTAAACACACAGAGCTGCTGCAAAGCACAAGGCAGTTGAGATGAATACAGAATAACAGCATGAAATCTCCTTTGACAACAAAGGGAACAGGCTACATAATGGAACAGCTTCATTTACCCTCAAACTTCTGCAGGTAGGTTTTTTGGAAAGCAGCTTATACCTGCAGAACCCTGGCCTGGCCTGCAATAATTCAACAGCCTTGCTAAAATGAAACACTGATGAGTTGAGTTTGACTTCTACACTTCAAAACCTTTTCAGGCACATCTCCAAAGCTCAACTAGAATTAGATGATGTATCCCTCATATGGACAGGAAAGACCCATGAAGATTCCTGCTCCATGAGAACTACTGGAGACACAGCAGCTCTGATTTCAATAGAGGGAGCCTGAAAAGTGTTTAAACACTGGACAGGTGTGCTCAGCACAAACACACCTGAGAAAAGCCCAATCTTTGCCAGCTTCACTCTTACACTAAGTAGCAAGTGGGTGAAATATAAAAGGATAGCTTTCCATCTTCACCCACAGATAAACTCCAAACAGGGAGGTCTCTGAGTCAGCCACATCATCTGTTTGCTGGTGACACGGGGCCAAAACACAGCATTACAAAAAGAGCCTAAGCTTTGATACTGGAAACAATTTACAGTCCTGCCATCACCCACATTAAAAGAATAGTTTGTAGCTAAGAGGTTTTCTATCACACAGAGCATTACAGCGCTAACTATGGCAAAGAGGCCAGTAGCCATCAGCAGGATGAAATTCCAATGTTTTATAAACTATTTCAAAATGACTGTCAGAATTATGTCTGGAAAAGAGGACAACCATGTAAACAGCAGCAGATAAACTGTTGGTTTCATTAGCAACTTCCTCTTTATATGAATCAGAATGTGCAAAAGAGCATTTCTGATTTATTGCAAGTCCAGATCTTATCCTTAAATGTGTGCCACAAGTAGCTCCTGTAACAGAGTACACCAAAATTCTTTTACAACCCTCTTCATTTAGCTTCTTTTTTAAGAAACAGTGGGATCTGTGTTTAACTCCCTCATATCACAGAAACAACTGTGTTGCTGACCTTCTCCTGAGACCCTCAACAGGGATCTAAGGAGGCTGCTTTGGCATCAAGCCCAGGATGCTCAAGTTACAATTCTTTCCCCTACCTTGAGGTGGCAATGGGAAACCAGCCACGGTACCGTCCTACTCAATGACAACTCTAAATAGCAATGGGAGCTGCAGCAGCAAGTCATGCTATCAAATAAATACTCTGACAAAGGCTCAGCCAAGTCAATGTGCTAAATGGACAAGCAAGACATTCTCTCCTCGAATAAAGATCTGGTTTATGTGGCGTGTGAACACCTGCTGATAATCCACCTTGGGCCTCCTCCTCCTCCGGGACTGGCTCCTCGCTCGGGCCCCACCAGCACTGGCCCCCTCGGTGTGGGCAGTCCTGCTGCCCACATCAGCTTCGCTTCTGTCACCCGGGGTCTTCTTCTCTCCAGCTCTGCCCAAGTGTTTCTGCCTCTCACGCTCCTCTTCTGCTCTCCCTCGTCCAGATCCAGCCTTCAAACTCAGCATCTGAGAGTCATTTGTCAGGGCCTGCTCCTCTGAGACAGTCTTTGAGTCAGCTCCCTTCTTCCCCGAGGATTCCTGCAGCTTGAGTTTGTCAAACAGCTGCAAAAGGACAGTTGTATCTATGACCACACTTGTAAAACAAGAGAGGCCACTTGTTTCATACTTGCACATTGTATTTTCATGTAAAATACCAAATCAGCTCACAAGACACAGTGACAAATCTCCACCAGCAATAACGACCATGTTTGCTTACCAAAGTTAGTGACAGAAGGTGAATGTGTCTCTTGCATAGTCATGACTGTCTTAATGTGAGCACTGAGGAATTTAATTTCAGGAGCAACACTACTGTGTGGTAGCCTTTAACTTTGGTCAGGAGAAACAGAGATACCAAGTTGCTTCTACAGCTCACTTTTCCCCATGTTCTTTTAATGTTTCAGACAGTTTTAGAGAGATTTCCATCCTTGTATCATGAATCCCTAAGATAAGGGGCCTCCATTAGCAGAGTCTGTACACTGAAAAACTGAGGGATCTTTTGTGTTCCCCAAAACAAACTAAAAGATGACGTGTGGGTGTTCTGGGAGGGGCAGACCACAAACAACAGAAAAATAATAAAAGCTACACCAGCAGACCCAAAGCAGTGTATGAACTCATTAATCTAAGAACACATGGTGCTGAAACTGGAAAAGAAATTGCTTTTGCTCTGGCAGCAGACAAGCTTTTATGAAATAATGACAAATAAAGTTTTTGGTTATGCTGCTTCTTCCCAGCAACAAGCTGGAGAGCCAATGCCTGTGAGAGTGAGCTAAAGGAACAATGACAACTTGATTATATTTAACTAATCTTTAAAAGAAGGAAGGGTGGGATCTATCAGAAAACAGATTTAAATGGCAGGAATTTGAAAGCAAATTCCTCACAATGAAACAGTTTAAATGCTTTTGTGATGCTTCTCTGATGTTCAAAAGGCCCGGAGCTGTTGCCATTCAACAGGCACTGCCCTGTCACATTTTTTCTCCTTCATTGTTCAGAAATTCATCTATCATCTCTTCAGTTGTCAACAGGGAAACAGCTCTATTTGCAGCTGGAGTGGAGAGCTAGAGAGTAGAGATCTTTGGAGATCTTGGGCTTCACAGTACCCAGACTGGAAGCTCAAGTGACCAAAGGGCTGTGTTGTTTCACTGGCTGCAGACACAGACTGTGCCATGAGGAACTTCAGTACCAGAGGGATGCTCGGCCACATTCCCCAGCAAGACAAACACAGACCTGATCAGTCACAGGTGCAAAAAACACACAGAACAAATCTCACATCAAAACCCACAGAGTGAGCTTCTAGAAGTTCAGCACATCATATTAAGCAGAGGCAACAACTCTGATCTGATTCTAAAGTGGAGCTTTAGTAACATTGAAATACTAAAGTACTTTCAGAAAGATCAGAAAACATTTTGGGTATTTTTTTGTTCAGTTCAAGTTATTTTGGAGTTGTCTGTAATAAAAGGAGGTAAAATATTTTGAATGTAAGCATGGGTTCCAAATCAATGCTCCCCTTTTACTACTTTGAAAAAGAAGATGCTTGTAAGAAAGAAAACAGCAGAAGTCACCTACTCGGGTCAGTGAGAGCTGAGGTTCTGCATAGAAGGCTTTGCCCATTACTGGCTTCCTGTAAGTCTCATCCACATCTGTCAAGGCCTAAAAAAAGATAAAAGAAACTGAAAGATTGAAATTAATATAAAACATGGAGCAGCTTTGGATCAGCTTTGTGTCAAAGCATTATGAAATTATGTTCTGAAAGAAAATCCATCCCAGGAACAAGCTGTGCTTTGGAGCTGATTTATTAATCATCTAAATTGTACTGAGGTATAAAAGCAGCAGCAAAGTTCATTCTGCATTACTTGCAAAATCTCTGTGATCCTTGTCTGCAAAATCCTTCCTTCCTTCCCACTTCCAAACTTTCCACACCTCCAGGCTCGCAAATACTTAATAGCTGCTATTCCATCTATTGTCTTTAAGACCTTCACAGGGTAGAAAACAGAGAAAAGCTTTTGTCACTGGCAGCTCAGTGATGTTAGTGAGAGAAAACACAGAAGCACTCATCACTATACAAAGATTAGGTTTTGCAGAGAAAGAAACCTCTGGAAGCTTCTGATATTCCTCATATTCCACCTTCCTGTGTTCTTATACAAAACCTCTGAAGATGCTGGAAACTCTTCAAAGCTTCTCTCTCACCTAAAACCTCTTCCAGAGGTACCAGTCCAACACCAAATACCACTCAAGTCTAAAACCCAGCACTTGCTACCAGAGCAAATTAATCTTCCCCATAGGTCATTAGCTTAAACCTATTGCAAATTTCAAGTTTTCAATTTAACAGTTACAAATCAAGGGTTGGAACAATAATTACCATATTCCAGAATTTGTCAAATGCAACCAAAAAGCCTGTGCAGACTCCACGAAGCCCTTTGAAAGTGCGGATGTGGACATTAATTCTGATCCCATCTCGGACACAGCGATGAAGCTCCCCCAGTGGGCTGCCTTCATGGACTAGAACAGAAAGAAAACATCACAAAATATACAGAATTATAGAACAGAATTGTAGAATGACCCGAGTTGGAAAGATTTTCTTTCAAACTCCCTCCCACAGGCAGGGACAGCTTCCACTAGACCAAGGTTGCTCAGAGCCCCACGCAGCCTGGCCTTGAACACTTCCAGGGTTGGGGCAGCCACAGCTTCTCTGGAAAATCTGTGCCAGGGCCTCACCACCCTCACAGCCAAGAATTTCTCTCTAGTATCTAATCTAAACCAATTTTTTTTTTCAATTTGAAGCCATTCACGCTCTTCCTGTCACTACACATTTTTGTAAAAACTCTCTCTTCAGTATCTATCTAAAAACCACATAAAAATCCACTCTATGTACAAGTATGGCAGAGCTTGGCACAACACTTGTGATCACAACAATAGCAATGAAGAAGCCCCAAGCACTGTAGCACACTGTGGTTGCCATTACCAGACCACCAAAACTCTTCTTACAATGGGAAGAGCCAAGACTTTAGAAAATATGAAGGTTTTGCTTGACATAGCCTGCAGGCAAATCAGCCTTAGCTGAAAATCTTTTTTGCTACATTTCAAAAACATGCCAAGTAATCTGAACTGTAAATAAAAGTGGTTGAGAGGGAACAGAAGGCTCACCGGGGCAGGGTTAGTTCCACAGAAAAGACAAATGCCTGGTTAAGGCTACCTCAGATTAGTTATGAGCTGTGAATAAAGAATTGTAGCAGATTTGTTCCTCTTCTTTACAAGGGCATTTCTGAAACAATGAATGACTCAAAATCCTTCAATTTACTAAACTGGACCAGTTTAAACTGATGAAAATACATTGTTTCAGTTAAGATCTCAGCAGCCAGCTGAAAATCCTTCAAATTCCTACAAGACTTTGGCAAGGAAATAAAATTACTCTAAGGAGCAGCCAGCAATTAAACCGTGCTAAAGCCCAGGGCAACAATGCTTTAACCAGGACAAAAGTGAAGGGATTCAATAAAACATACAGCTTGCCTGGCTCACACAAGCCTTGTCTTCACACCAGAAATCTTTGCAAGTCTAACTTATCTAGAGGGGTAGATATTATTTACAACTTCCACCATGCCTTGGTACCCACTTGCTTGTGCAAACACAGCCCCAGGATTGCTGTACAGTTCCTACTAAGATTCAGGGAAAAGACTTGGTCTAAAATCTCACATGGTTCTCCACATTAATAAAATATGTGAGCCAGAGATGACCTCTCACCTTGTGCTTTAGGGACTGTACATTCAAGATTTGATTTGCACACCAGAAAATGCTTCCTGTGAGTGTAGAGTGACTGTGTAAACCAGCTGATCTGCAGGACTGGGTTGCAGGGTAATTCATGGCCACAGCAGGGAAATCTAAATCACTTTCCTCTGAATTAACCTAATCACATTTATTTTTTGAGAACCACTGTCTTCTTGCCAGCCCTCTCCAGCTGGATAACTGCAGGAAATTGATTTCACACAGAGCATAAGCTGCCTCAGCACCTCCCAGCCTTGCTTAGGGGGTCTTTCCATGAGCCTCTGTGTCTCCTTCAGCTGAACTGATAACAAACATGTTCTGGATTGACAGATCCCTCACAGGAACCACAGATGACACCATCACGATATCAATTTGATGCTTCCAATCAGAAAACAGTATTTTTTCTAACCAACCCTGAGAACTTACATAACAATTTAAAATCCAGACTTATTTTTAGATTTTAAGTTCAAATACTCCCTTTAAGTAGGAACTCTATCTACAACTTTTTACAGAATTCTATATCTAAGCATTATTTTCAATTATGCCTCTGTCTCTCAGCACCCAGGAAAACACTACACAGCTTTATCAAATCTACACTCTGCCCACTTTTCCTTGCTGTGTAAGGTTCTGGCTCCTCAATGGCAAACTTCCAGCTTCATCTGAGCAAAAGAGCAGAACACATCATCCAAAAACTCTTCAACAACCTGACATTCTCAGAAAAAATAAAACTAGCAACGCAAGGCATTTATTTTTGGAACACACCTCCTCTGCAAGCACCAAAGGCTGCAATGAGCAGGCTCAGCACACAACTAAATCTGCCTGTGCCTTCTGCATGGGTAGGGACCAGCATGAACAACGTTTCAATAGACAGGGAAAATAGTTACCTGGTTGGTACTCAAAATCCAACCCTTACCTGGATAAAATCAGCACATGCTTAATACCAGGACTCTGAAAAATGACTCAAAAAACTACTGTAAGCAGAGGGCAAGCACCCCAAAAGGGTAAAAATAAAGATCTAAACTCCGCTTAAGTTCAAGTCCTTGTCCTCAGGGCAGACTCCATTAAGAGGCAAAATTAGAAAAACTTCAAGAGAAAAGTGGAAATCATTCAGAACACTGTCAAACACCTTTCCACCTGCCCTGCACATGAATTCTCTGCCCCTTGGTTAATGCAAAGTAATGACAAATAACTTCTCCTGAACTGATCCACACAGTCCAAGTTCCAAACACCTGTGGTGCAGACAATCCCCCAGTTACAGGGGAAGCACACAATTTTGGCTATAAATCACTCTTAAAACACCCCACACTGCTGAATAGCACTTTCTGTATCAGTTGTGCCAGTCTTCTTTGAAGTCCAGACATGCATGTGTGGATATTAAGGAGGTGTTCTTCATTGTTCCTAATTTTTACAGGGTTTATTTTTTTCTCAATTTTCAGCACCAGTACAAATTGAGATATTTTTTATTAAGATCTGAAATCAATACTTTAAGGCCAGTTTTTTGAAAAACCTGGACCATCAGAACCTCTGAATTTGTGCACAACACTAAGTGTGATAGTTAAGATTATGCAGCATCTATAGTCATGAACACATTGTGTTTTAGTGTCTAAGCAAGAAAAAGGTTTTGCCTTGGGCATTCAGAATTGAACATTTTGGGCTTTGCCTTTTCAGAAAAAAAAAAATTAAGGTGACGGTGCAAATTTGATTCCAAAATGAATCCCAGTATTTTTAATTAAGTGCACTAAAGTTATATCTCACCTGACAGCAATGCCATTTGATTCTTGGTGTGGGGGCACAAGTAGCACCTCTTCATGTTTAGAGGATGTTTACCCTGACCGCACACGAAACATTTTTACAAGAAATATGTATCATTATCACATCTGATGAATTAAATTTACATCACAGCTGCCTCTCACCTCAATCCACTGTTCTGCCATCCTATTATCAGAAATGCCAGTATTTCTGCCTGCAGGATGTTTAGTTAGCAACCAAGTAACAGCAGTGTGTTACAGACCTACCCTGTGGTTATGGTTACAGCCCGGACTGACCCAAATATCAGTCATGGTTTAAAATAGTACTTTTGAGAATATAGCAGTGTCTCATCCTTTTTCTCCTTAAAACCAAGAGGATGCATGTAATTAACCAATTAACAGAGCAGAACATCACCACAACAGTGTCATCTCTGCGTGAGCAGCTCTGTGAAATGCTGTTCCTCATTCCTGCACACCATTTCAGAGAATCACGGAACGGTCTCTGTTGGGAGGAACCTAAAAGCCTATTTTATTCCAATCCCCCTGCCATGTGCAGGGTCACCTTCCACTATCCCACGCTGCTCCAAGCCTGATCCAACGTGGCCTTGGACACTTCCAGGGATGGGGCAGCCACAGCTTCTCTGAGCGACCTGTGCCAGTGCCTCTGCACCCAAGGTTCATTTCCCATCAAACTAAATCTTTCCCCGCACACCACCCACACCGCACCATCATCACCCAACCGCTCCCGCCGGCCGCCGCTCTCTCCTCACCCCCAAACTCCCCCAAACTCCCCCGCAACCCGGGGCCCCGCTCGGCACCCCCCGCGCCCGCCCAGCCCTTACGGGGCATCCTGGTGAGGACATTGCGCGGTGCCCGCCGCCGCCGCGCCGCCGCTCCGCCCTCAGCCGCCTCCTGCTCGGGGCCCGCGTTGACCATGAGGCTGCGGAGGCGCCGGATGCGCTCGGGGTCGGCGGCGGGCGGGCCGCGGCGGGACGCGCGGGCGGCGGGGGCGCCGCGGCGGGCGGGGGCGGCGCGGCGGCCGTGCGGGCGGCGCAGGCCGCGCTGGAAGCTCTCGTACTCGGCGAGGTTGTTGAAGCAGGGCGCGGCGGGGAAGGGCAGCGGCGTGCGCGGCGAGTAGAGCGCCAGCAGCGGGTCGAAGCGGCTGGAGCTCACATCCAGGCGGCCAGGGCTGGGCGAGCGGCGGGAGCCCCGCGGCTCCGCGCCCGCCTCGTCCTCCTCCATGCCGGGCTGCGGCCGGGCGCGCCGCGCAGCGCCGCCGCCAGGGGCCGCTGCCGCGCAACGCCGTGCGCCTGAGGGCGGAGCGGCCGCCATGGCGGGAGGGACCCTGAGGGGACCCCGGGGGGGACCCTGGGGGGACCCTGAGGGGACCCCGAGGGGACCCTGGGGGGACCCTGAGGGAACCCTGAGGGGACCCCGACGGGACCCCGAGGGGACCCTGACGGGACCCGAGGGGACCCCGAGGGAACCCTGACGGGACCCTGAGGGGACCCTGAGGGGACCCTGAGGGAACCCTGAGGGGACCCTGAGGGAACCCTGAGGGGACCCGAGGGGACCCTGAGGGGACCCTGACGGGACCCGAGGGGACCCTGAGGGGACCCTGAGGGGACCCTGAGGGGACCCGGGCACCTCCCTGCCGCACACGGCACCGGAGAACGGCCAGCAAGGGCCGCAATGATGGTGAAGCGTCTGGAGCATCTCTTTTTTAGAAGAGTCACTGCGGGAGTTGGGCCTGCCCAGCCCAAAAGATTCAAAGAGGCGGGGGGGGGGTATCAAAAGGATGGTGCTAAACTTTCAGCGGTGACAGGACGAGGAGCAGTGCACACAAATTAAAACAGAATAAATTTCACCTCAAAATTAGGAAGAACTTATTGATGTTGAGGGTGGTGGAGCACTGGAACAGCTGCCTGGGCATGGAGTTTCTCTCTCTGGAGACATCCCAGAGCCACCTGAACAGTTCCTGGATAACCTGCTCCAGGTGTCCTCACCCTGGCAGGGCACTTGGGCTGGGTGATCTCCAAAAGTTCCTTCCAACCCTAACAAATCTGTGATTATTTTCAGTTATTCCCCACTACTGCAATCCTCTCCCTGCAGCCCACTCTGGGGACCATCTCTGGATCATGACCATACCCCCCTGCTCCAGACCATGAAATCCATCTGGGCAACTGGCGGTTGCAATGTAATTTGCACTTTAATGCATAAAAGGATGCACAGGGCAGAGTAATTTCACTGAGGGACAGCAAGGAAACACTTTTTATAGGCTTTACTATAATGATTCACCATGTTCATTAATGTTTCATAACGAGTTCCCGTATCTTTAATGCTTCTTGTAACGGCAGTACGTCAGCCATAGGTTCATCACCAGCCTCAGAGGAAACCCTTCTTTCTTCA